TTCTGCTTCCTCGATGCCGATGCGAGGAGCTCAACACATAAAATCAAAATCAAAATAGATGCCACTTGTCAAAGCTGCAGTGTCATCTTCCCTTGAGCTCTCGCAGATGAAAAACTACTTTTTTTGTACTGACCTTGTCCATAGCTAAAGAGTGCGTACAATAATGCTTACACGACCCCACCACTGGGTTGTCGACCCAACAAAGAGTGGTTCTTGCGCTGTTCGCTATAGCTGGGGTACACTGCGTCGCTCTCGTTGCTGTTCGTCCGACTGAGGTTGTTCGCGGACGGCGCTGTTAGTGGCACATTACTGACTTGTTGCTGATATCCCATGGGCTTCGGAGCCGCGTTTTGATTGCCGTACACATTTGCGTACGGTTGTTGTTGCATATTCTGTGGAGTCGTGTACGGGTGTCCCGTGTTGGGGTTGTACTGCTGCGAAGGCGTGGGCGCCTGTCCGTACGCTTGTTGCGTTGCACTCACGCCGAATCCTCCGGCTGACTCCGTGCGTACAAATTGTGTGTGCGCATGCGCATCATTCTCCATACTTTGCTGCATTGCAACTGCCAGATCCCGCTCGTACTCCTTGCGGAAGTACCGGATCTTCTCGGCACGTCCCGCCGAGCTCAAATAGCCAGTAATTGACAGGATAATCACTGACGCCAGACAGACCCAGAAACTGTACCCATAGAACCAGCAATGCCACTTGGTGTTGTCTGCCTTGCAACTCGTGTAGGCCGAGTTGATAGTGTCAATTTCGTACAGTGTCTGTTGCAATAGTGCGCCCCAAATAACCAAAGATACCGCCAATAGTAACGCTGTAATCATAAACGAAAAAAAAAAATATCAGTATGTTGCCTAAGTAAAAAAAAAATTAAAAAAAAAAATGAAAAACAATCACTCACAGCCGACAAGAGTGCAAAACGACACGACACGCTCCATGTACCCGGCTGACGGGTTGTAGACCGCTCCGATGGACGTGAGCAGCCCTACGACGGAGATGGCGGCACCCGTGGCTGTCGTGGCCTGTACCGACTTCATTCGCTTGCCACAAAGCACTTCGTGGAAGTCAGCGCCGTCGCCCAACATGTAGTTCGGGGTCGTGTAGTTCTCCACGCAAAAATCCGAGTATTGCAACACAGTGGCCGACGCGTAGAACGGCGACTCGAGACTGTTGGTTGAGTAGAACGCGAATAGTCCGTACCCCTGGTATACATTGTTGCCATCACGGCGGTAGTGCTGCTGGAACCACGCCGGGTAGACCATAGCGTAGAACGCGGTGCCAACTGACACCAGGGAGAGGAACACCGCTGCAAAAAAACGCCAATAATACGCGTTAGGTTGCCGTCTTTTTCCACCGATTGCCAGATCACAGGTTTAAGCGAGTGCTAAAGCGAGTGGACGTACTCAAGAGGGTGTTTTTCATAATCATGGTGGCCGCGGTGTATGTGGGGGATCGGGAGGGGTATGTCGGGTCCCGCGCGGATGCCAGTCGGTGTCTGCGCCTGTAGGAAGTCGCCTCGGAGCTCGCGCCTCACGCTCGTTGCCTTCGACGCCACTACAGGAGAAGTGACTTGTGCGGAGAGAGCGGAGTCTTATTGCCGAAATTTAGAGATGGAGTGATGGTCTTTTTGTGCAAGAATGGACTTGTGCTGAGTATCGAATTTCCATATTTAGAGATTCCAGAGCATAACTGACTGGATTTCGCACAGCTGCTCGTGAGCAGACGCGGCTAGGGGTGGGAAGAAGCCTATCTTGCAAAAGACGGTAGGTACGAACTTAATTTTACAAAACAAGGTGCACTAGGAATTGGTAATCTTATATTTTGTAAGAAAGTATTAGTCAGAACCTTATCTAGAGAAAAAAGCTCCAAAACTTTTGCCACCAAGATGATCATTTTACCATGTTTTGTGCTTTTGCACTGTCCTACACCTGTAAGTCGCCACACCCTACTGACGGTAAAGACCTCCGCGTGGTCATGGCGAAAGCTACAAGACCAACCTCGCCTGCTCGTTCTCACCGCAAGGCAACGACGCCAGCCTGCTGTCGGTGCAAGTCGCGTGCAGATCGCAATTATCATTTGAGGCCTCATAGCTAAAGTAGCATATCTGCCATTATGAAGATCGAAAGTATCCCTTGGGGTCGTGTGGTTCGGGGCAGGACTAGTAGATTTTGTAGAGTCCAACGACCATATACCCACATACTTCATGGCAGCCGATGTCAGTAAAACTTTCTCAGCACCACTTACAAATAAACACCAGCTGATGGTTTGATATCGTCCTATAATCTTGGCCATCTTCTGTAGGGAAAACATAAAAATTGTACTACTACTTGTAGAGTTGGCCATTTCATCATTTCTTTCCTCTATGTGGACTGCGGCTCTAATCGAAGGACGTCTGACTCTTACAAGTTCAGAAATGTAGCCATTTCACTTCAACATCCTCAATGCGTTGTTTTGAGTCATCAGGTAGCCTTCCTAGATAGTTGTATCGCTCTAGCGATGAGTTTCTAGCGCTGCACCGACCAGAGGAAGGTGCAGGACACAGGGCTGTGGTCGCTGCCGCGCAGTTCATCGTTCAACGCCCTGTAGTTGTCTCGCACGGCCTCGGAGCCAAAACTACTTCGGCCTCGACTCGAGTCCGGACACGCAGCTTGTTCTACCTTCAGACAAGTCTCCCACG